GAGAGAGAGAGAGAGAGAGAGAGAGAGAGAGAGAGTGCTTTACAAGAGTAAATTATTCCTTTACCCACCAAAAACTACATTCCACGATTCAAAGTACAATCAGACAATACTATCAAAAGCAATGTCCAAAAAGGGTTTATTTCCAGAATATCCTGTGGTTCAATCGTGGGCCACATCTAGAATTTACATGTGTCATATATGTTATGAATGAATGCCATATAGTCTTCAGCTAGTTTACCTCTAGTGAGGTGGAATTTATGTGTCAGTTTCTCTCCGAATGCAAAGGTCCATACTTCCCCCTTTTTTGGCCAGAAAAAGGTTTGTTGGGGATTCTGCAAGTGTTGAGGACTGCAAAACATCCTTGGGGAGGCCACTTGTGGCCCCAACACCACAATTTGCCCACTCTGGCTTGAAAAAGTGCTATTTTTGAACAATGCTGAACATCTCCCAGCTGTGCTAACGCAGATGTGCTAGGTACATTATTCTGCATATTTCTCCTTAACTCTCTTGGGGTACAGCCGTATTTGAACTTAACTGGGAAGGGTTCTGGTCGCACCCATAGTGTAATATTGCCTAACCCTAAAATGGTATGTGGTTTTAGAGAGAAATTTGCAATAGAATGAGGATAAGGATGCATAGGTCCGCACGTAATGTGGTCAGGCGTGTGCAAATTCTTTGATGGGGACAAAGGTGCACGTTTGGTGAAAATGAGGACAACGTGAGAACTATTCCTCTCCTAAATGCCAGGAATTGTTCTTGTCTGTGCTAACTCTTTCCCACATGCTTTGGGGGATAATGTCGCAGCAAATTTAAAAATAACAGTTTGAAAATGCTGTAGAATGGCAAAAGTCTGTTGGAGCCAAATTTTTCCTTTTTAAGAGAGGAAAAAAAAATTCTGGCAGAGGTTCTCAAAGCGGAAAGGCAGACGTTTGTAATTAATATGGACTATCATATTTCCAAAGCAAACAAAAACAAAGGCAGGGAGGGAGGGAGGGGGCGACTTTGACATGAAAGGCCTTTTAATATTCACATTAGCATCTTGTCTCTGCATGGGAGTCAGGCTTACTTGGCACTGAGCGTGCATAACATGGTGAATTTGTCTTGTGTTTACTCATCTTGTGAGGGCCACATCACATCATGACATGTACATCTGGAAAAACCACCTACAGATTAGACTGCAGCAAAACCTTCCCTGATTCTTATGCAATAGCTTTAATGGTGACTGCATATTGGGGAGCAAGTAATAGAATATCGTACCTACTACATGTGTAGGACCAGCATGGCATAGAGTTTGAGCATTGGACTATGATTCTGGAGACTAGGGTTCGATTCTCCACTTGACCATAGAAACCCACTGAGTAACCTGAGGCAAGTTACACACTCTCAGCCCCCCAAAACTCCATGATAGTTCACCTTGGGACCACCATAAGTTGGAAAGGCACACAACAGCAACAACATTAAGGGATAAATACTCTTAAGTACTAGACCACATCTGATCTTAGGAGCTAAACCAGGGTCAGCCCTGGATAGTACTTGGATAGGAGACCACTAAGGAATGCCAGATGCTGCAGGCTATATTTCAGAGGAAGGAACTGGGAAAACCACCTCTGAATATTCCTTGCCTAAGAAAACCCTGTGAAATTCATGGGGTCATCATAGGCCGACAGGTGACATGAAAGGACATACACACACACATGAGTATCTCTCTCACACAATTCTGTTGTACTTCTCTGGCTACTGATCTTGTGTTGTTAGCCTTGGATTCAAACCCTGGCCTCCGGATTCAAAGTCCAGCATTCAAACCACTACCCCATGCTGGCTTCCATCTATCATGACTAACTTAAGTTCCGGGAATTTCGACCAGTCTACTCTAAGCATGTAAATCTGTATCCAAATCATGATAAATAAACAAACAATCATGAATAAATATGTAGAGAGATCTTGTAGCTCCTTTGAGACTCACTGAAAGAAAGAAGTTTGCAGTATGAGCTTTCCTAGACTTCAACTTCAGATGATGAAAGCTCATGCTGCCAACTTCTTTCTTCCAGTAAGTCTCAAATGGACTACAAGATCTCTCTACAGACTGATTCTACAGACTAACACGGCCATATCTTTGAATCCTGAATACAGAGCATCCTGGACACTCTTTCCAACCAGCTCTGTTCAGCTCAGTAATTTTTAAGCCTATCTGTCGCACTCCTGGAAATAACAGAGCGCAACATGTCTAAATTGTTTGGACTCAAGCTGCAATGGGATCCAAGTTTCTCTTGAGAATGTCACACCTCCTCCTTGGCGAGATTTTGAAAAAGCTGTCTCACAGTGCAGAACAATGGCAGAGATAAGCTGGCGGACAGTCAACAGGGCGTAGGTGTGCTGAACTCAGCAAGAGGACGGAGCTGGAGAATGGAGGCATCATCATCATCATCTGGCTCCTGGCAAGAAGGGAGGGGACTGTTTCCTAAAGGCAAAATCCTGCTGAAGTTGCTGAAGGATCATGTGAATGCAGGAAAGCAATCGCCCAACATCTGTGCTGGCTGATGCCCATCAGGGCTGGTAGGGTGAAAGGTGATAAAATCATAAACCCAGGGTCACCTACATCTGGTTTGCAACCTAACCTCTCTTGCAAGCTCTTGGTCACGGGTGGGAATCATGTGGCCCTCCAGGTGTGCAGTGTCTGTGTGTGTGCCAGCAGTCCTAGGCTGGCACAGCCAAGAATATTGGGGAGCTGCATATGTTTGGAGAACTGTTACCACCCCATTTGATCAAATGATACAAAACTTCTTCCCAAATAGCAAATTTCAGATTTACATTTCTGGAACTGAGCGTTGCCCAGGAGAGGTGGATCAGGTGAGGCAGGAATTGTGGAGATTTTGGAGTGCCGTTCCCGACAGTCCACACCAGTATAGCCAATGGTGAGTAATGCTGGGGGTTGCAGTCCAACAAAATCCCTGCTACAAATACACCTTGCACCTTTCTATTCCAGTCAGCCCTCCTTGTTTATCCACGGATTCAAGCATCCACCACTTGAAAATATTCAAAAATAGTATAAATTCCAAATAGCAAACCTTGATTTTCTATTTTATATAAGAGGCACCATTTTACTATGCCACTGTATTTAATGGGACTTGAACTTCCATAGATTTTGGTATCCATGGGGGGGGGGTCCTGGGATCAAACCCCTGCAGATAACAAGGCCCCACTGTAATTGGGAAACATGCAGAGGATTAAATGGACACCATCTCATTTGACCCAAAAGTCTGATTTTCCCTGGCTCACATAATGTTTTCATTTGCACTAGGATCTAGAGATCCGTTTCTTACATTTCACTGTTGTTAAGAGCCTTCAAGTTGATGTCAGATGATGGCAATCCTACCATATGGTTTTCTTGCCAAGATTTATTCAGAGGAGGATTTTGCCATTGACTTGCTCTGAGGCTGAGAGGGTGTGACTTTACCTAGGTCACCCATTGGGTTTCCATGCTTGTGGCGATTTGAACCCTGGATTCTAAGAGTCCTAGACCAATACTTAAACCACTACACCACACTGATTCCATTCCTTATGTTACTTGCTGTCATTGCATTTTTCTTTAACCTTTTTGTGAGGATGGAAGAAACCAAGGTGGAAGCATCTGACCTCTTTATGGTGCTATTTTCTGTTGGCCATCATTTCATTTAACATCAAAAGCTTTGGAGGTTGGTGCAACAGTAAGCACAATGACCAGGCAAGGGTGGGAATTATGCAACCTTCTGCATGTTGTCAAACTGCAACTCCCAGCACTCATTACCCTTGGCTAAGTTGGCTAAGCCTGCTGGGAACTGCAGTCCACCCAGATCTGGGAAGACACAATTTGCACCCCTGGATGAAGGAGGAAGCTTTATCAAACCTGGCAGAACTTACTTCTGCCTAAGTTAGTGTACCATTGCATGGTCTGCAGAATGGGGAAACTCCAAATGTTTTTGGACTACAATCCCCATAGTGTCTGCTCACTGGCCATTCCTGATGGGCCTTATGGAAGTTACAATTCAAACCCTTTGGAGGGGTACACCATAACCCTAACCCTTGTCCTAGGGCAGTGGTTCCCAAACTTTGGTCCTCCAGGTGTTTTGGACTTCAACT